GCAACATAAGTTGAGGAGAATGGGAAAAACTCAAGGCACTTGCAGTGTGCCCAAGATGCTCGGACAAGCTGATTTAATGTGGGATTGCTCCCAGCTCGTTTCCATCAGCCTTGACGCTAGTGGAGATGGGCTTGCTCGGGCTGGTGATGCTCCTATACTCAGCCAGCCTGAAAGCCCTTCAGAAAGGTGGATTTGTGTGCTGCAGGTGACCTGCTTTGACAGGGCAGTTAGCTGGGTTGCCAGAAAAGAGTGACCCTTTCTGTGCAAGGCTTACAAAAGGCAGCTGCAGAGGGAAGTGGCACTGACTGCTGCTGCCTATGGGGTGCAGGATGAAGACAAACTGAGTCTATGTCCTGTACTGGGGACAGCTGGGTCTTGGGGTGATGCAGCAGTCTACAGGCTGAGAGAGATGGCTGGGATTTCCCCAGATTTTCTCCCATTTGGAGAAAATTCAGAAAAATCTCTCCCAAATTTTTCCATTTACAATTTTTAGTGATTTCTTCCTTATTGCTTGTGTTTCTCTAGTTAGTTGGTCAAAATGGTTCAAGTATTGGAAATGCATTTTTTTTTTCAGTATCTCAGAAGCACAAGCATTCACATTTTCTTATTGTCTTCAGACCATTCTGGACACTGGAAACAAAGCAGCATGACAAGCTGTGTGTGAGCAACACCCCAGCTCCCCTCAGCCAGCACAGCTCCCCACTGTTCTATGCACGGCCTTTAAAACCAAACTGTAGGTATGAACACTTTTTGTCTTAAGGCTAGGTCCAACTCCCAACATCACTTAAACACCTGCAGTTTGTTCTGATGAAGAAGCTGGTGAAGAACATTCTTCAGACCTTGGTGTCTCCTTTTTGTCTCTCTCCTGAAAGCATGATGGACTGTTTTTAAACCAGGAGGCAAGTTTGTACAGGGTAGAAAATGAAGATTTGTGTAAATCACATTTTTCATGTAAACACATACAGTGTCAAAAATATTCATACCCTGAAGTGTTTCCCATCACATGCGCACTAATGAGTGGATTATGAAATATGTTTTCTGTGTCTTGCTTTCTCCCACTAGAAAGGTCCCAGAGGAGGTTGGATATGTCCACAGGCAGGGAAGGGCTATCAGAAGCCTTCAGAAAGTGCACTGTGCCCTTGATCCCTACTGAGAGCTGGAGTGACAGCATTACTGTTACTATGTCATGGGACTTTGCGCTTCTCGAGGGGAAAACTATCTCCTATGAGATTGTGACCTGTTAGAAGTATCTCAAGTGGGGCTACAGAAGGTGATGCTGTTTGGATGTCTGCCCGGAGATGCTGCCAGGCAGTGCCCTTGCTTAAATTACATATACAGAGCATCATTCCTCAGAAATAAAGTCAGCAAAATGTGAATAAACTGGGAAGAGTTCTCAGAGGGCCTCACAAAAAAAGTCACAAGAAGTTACTCTGTCTGTGTTTTATATTACAAATATTACAATATTTGCTGATGTCATAGAGGTATATTTTAAATGCCTGACTTGTGGCAGAGAAGCCGCTGTAAATCACCGATTCAAATAAACTAGTGAGAGCTGCCTTTGTAAGAACAACCAACAGTCAATAAGTATCACAATATCTGCGGTGACTCCATTCATTGTTCTTCCTCCCAAACCCAGGCATTATATTAATAACATTTTTAGCTGAACATGGGCTGCTCTGGAATATTTGTGCAATGCTGCTGAGTGTTCTTCACCTCAGCCCACCCTGTGCCTGCTGCTAGGAGCTCAGGATACATGGAGTTAAATAAGTTTTCCTTTTCCTCCATCCGAACAATTGGAATCAGCAGTTTGCATTATTTTAAAAATGAAAGCTTGGAATCAGCAATTTTCTTTTTCCTTTTTTTTTTTTTTTTGTTCTTTTTTTTTTTTTTAAGATCTTGAGTTTTTTTTTTTTTATTTAAAGTGGAAAACTACATTAAGTGCAAGGCACTCAACAAAGAAAGAGTCATAAAGCCTAAGTATTCTTAGAGTTATAAAATATGTCCGTGGTGGCAATTCTACTGCCAACAATGAAGTTTTAAGCATTAATATGCCTTCATTGCAGTTTTAATGCCTTAATATTGACTCTATAGCTCTTTTGGGTAATTTTGCTTTCTCTGGTACTTGAAAGGTGATGATGTCAGCGTTCTTCATACTGATTCATATGCAGGTTGATGAAGCTGAGTTATTTATTGAGTTCCATTATATTTTCTATAAACATTAGTTCTCAATAAACAGAGACATTTAGCCGAGGGTTTATTTATTAAATAGGTACTGTACAGATGGTTTTGCCACACATGATGTGCTGCAGAGGATATTACTCAGGAATAATCAGCTGTGTTATAGCTTGGCTAAATTAATAAGATGATAATGATGAAATTGATGCTTTTGAGCTAGGCTTGGTAAATGGTTTTTGCATAAACAAACTGATAAATTTGAGAAGCAATTACTTGCTTGTCAAAGATAAAAACACAACAGGGCCCATTTATAGTTAGGTCCTATTTATTTTTAAAGATTGTACCAGATTTTATGTTTAATACGCTGCAATTAAAAAATAATACTTAAATGAAGAATAATAAAAAACTAACTTTCTGAGCTCTCCTTCAAATTTGAAGATGCAGCATTGCTTGGTTAGACATCAAGTAAACTTTTTCGAAGGCTTTCACTACATCTAGGAAAAATATAATTGTTTTATGAAAGATGCTGTCTGGAGCTGTGCAACGCAGACTCTGGCAGTGCTTCCTGTAGCAGTATTTGCTCTGAAATCAAGCTAGATTTCATATAGAGAAACGCAGTCTCCAATTCCCTGTTTAATGTGGATTTTGCTGCAGTGATCACGCAAGTGAACAAAACACACATGTACTCCCTGCACACCGACTTCATGTAACTCTCCCTTAAACTAATGAATCATGGGTGTATAGTTTATAAGTGTGTACATATATATACAACAAATACTATAGCCTGACTTGTCTACTAACAAATGTATGTGTTATGTGGTTTTATATACTAGCTAGAGTAACTTGTTTATGTTTATTTAGAATATGTTTATTTAGAAAAAGTCAAACAAACAAGTGATGTGCAGCCCCTCAGGTGGCCACGCTGGAGAGGACCTCACGAGCTTCTGACATATATCACAATATGTTCTCACAGTGATAGCAGTCACAGTGACTGTGGCTGGTGGTTTCCCTCTGAGGCATTGAAGGCACCTTGTGAACACGTATTTAGCTTTGTAACCCGCCTGAGGGGTAGGTGGTATAACACATCTCACGGCTGTCTCCTCTGTGGGAACAGGCAGCTCATGAGAGCACCGGCAGGACAGTGATGTTCCTGAAGATTTATTTACCTTCTTGTGTGCTAAAGGAAGGGTTCAGGCCTTCAGTTAATTCCTTTTTCCCTGGAAATCACCACGCCACAAGGGCAGTGACGTCTTCTACACATAAATATTCCTGTGGGACTGTCCTAAGTGGATTATACCTGAAAAGAGGTATTGTATGTCCAAACATAGCAAGCAGTATAGGCATGAGTTTTCCACCTCAACACAAAAGGCTTTTACTTGTAGCCTTAAAGAGAGCTTTTGCTTCATTAATTTGCTCTGCAAGGACCTAAAGCCCGTAACAATGTGTGGGAGAAGTCCAGCTGTGGGCTGCCGCCCTGCAGCAGCATGCATCAGCGTGGCCACAGGCAGCAGATCCTGCTCATCCGGGAGGACTTCCCACCTGGCAGTGCCACGGCACTATCGGGAGGTTTTGCAAAGGGAATGGGTGAGGATCTCTTCTTACTATTAAGAACGTGAACAGATTTCTAACAGTCCTTCTTTGTTGTAACTTTTTGTTTTCTTTTTAGGAGATCTGGTACTGAAGCATTACTGCAATGTGTTCTGTGACTTCATGTTAGTGAGTCCTTCATGTGCTTTCCTTGCAGCCATTCAGAAAGAATTTAAGGTCTTACGCTGACCTGGAACTCTCGGCAGAGAGTAGCAGGAGACTCGTTCTCCCGTACGCAATGCTAACGATGACTACATAAAGGAAAAATCATAACGTGTTGCAACACCAGCTATATATATAAAATATTCCACACCCAGATACAGTTTTTGCTGTCAGCTGTTCACATTCATTACCTGAACTATAACTAAATTATAATAAAATGAAAGGAGGTCATTGGGTCAGCCTTGAAAACCTGAAATGAAGTTGTCTACAGCGCTTCTGCCAAAGGTATGAGTCTTGGGTGAGTTTTGCGTTGGATTCATGGTCACAGGGAGACAGAGGGAGGGAAGCTCCTGGGTTTAGTGATCAGTTTTAACGTGTGAATGATCCCCACAGCTCTTCCCATAGAAACCAGCTGTACCCACTCAGCACTTCCCCTGCCCTGCCTGCAGCCAGTCCTGCCCTGCAGTGTGGGTCTGAGTGCTGACCCTTAGGGATGCAGAGACATTTCCTGCTGGGATCTGCTGGGAGCAGCAAACTAAAGTGGCAGCCACAGCCTCCACCATGCCCAGCTTCTGCCACCCCGCAGGGAGACAAGCCCCCTTGAATGCTGCAGAGGGGCACAGGAGTACCCCAGAAGGGAGGAAGGGCAGAAGCTGTTGCTTCTGGTAAATGTCCCTGTGTTTTGGAATCTGAAGTTGCCACATTGTCCTTTTACAGTCTTGTAATGTAAATGGCTGTGCTTTCATGACAGAAAAGAGTAGGTTTGTATGCACAGAAATACTATTTATGTCATTATAACAATGTATAGGCTTTCACAAACGTCTGTAAAATGTGCTCAATGGTCCGCAGGGAGATTTGAAACAATGCGACTTTGTGAAAATCCAGATCCAAAAATGGTTCGGATCAACCTGCTCGGCTGGGACAGGTTTGCTGGGGGGAGGGACTTCTCTGCACTGCCCCTCCAGGAACAGATCTAACTCAGACATCATCCCTGATGCTGAACTGAACCACTTCCAGTGAGGAGATATTGAGTAGGGAAAGGAGAAGCCATTTCCACGCTGTGGTGCCACACTAGGAGGCTAGGAGTCAGTGTGAAATGGAGCTGACGCCTGTCAGCTGGACAGCATGGGGAAGCATAAAAGCCACTATATTATTTTGGGTATTGTCAATTTTCTTCTGCAAAGAAGGGAAAAAAAGAGAAAAGTCAAAGTCATTTCAGTGCTTTCAAATTAAAATTACTTTTTAAGTATTTGGGGAATTTCATGTAAGAAATAATTTTTTTCTTGTTTTAGAAAGTGCCACATTCAAAGAAAACATTTACTTGTAAGTAAAGCAAGATTGCTGTCAGTGAAGATTTTTTCCTCCTGCACAGCTTTGCAATACCCAAAGATATTGTTGATCAATGAAAACTGAGACAGAATTTTCCTAAAACATCATTGAAGTTGTTTCTTGCTTTAGACAAGGTCAGTGCTGAACTTTGGGTTTGGCAGAGGATGCTCCAAGCTGCCATTGCAAAAACCATTCACTCTGAATAGAGAGAAATCTTGAGCTGTGCAAGGTGCCTGTGCTTAGGACTGCTGTCTGCAAGCGCAGGCAACTGAGATTTGCTGTGCACGGCAACTGAGATTTGTTGTAACTCTAAAGTCTGCCTTAAACCCCAGCGTACAGCGGCACTTTAAAATAGAATCATTCATTATTAATTAGGTCACAATAAAAAAAAATCCTATGGATGCACTCGTGACGCTAAATGAGCCGATCCCAAATAATGCGATTGTAATGAATTCCAAAGGAATAAATAATGACTGAGCCATTAGCATAAAGTGCCAGCCACAGCTCAGCTCTGTGCTGCCCGCCAGCACCCTCCTGCCTGGCACCACTTCCAAACCCACCCTGCCAAGCCAGGCGTGGGGGTCCCTGGCCACAGGCTGGCATAAGGGTGTCAGGGTCTGTCCTACCACGGGGGATGCTCTGGGGAATCAGATACGTTGGTGGCTCCCACCAGTGGCATCACTCCTGAGCCCCGTTTGCAGGCAAGAAGCAGGATAACGTGGAAGAATGCAAGAAGATATTTTTGCATCTCTTGCTCTAATATATAATCAGAGCTTTTGTTCCATGGCTTGCACAAGCAAATTAATTAGAAATTTATCTGACCAGAAGTTCAGTTCACCATGTGTTCCAGGCAGAAGCCATCCCTGTGCACGTACGTATTTGCTCTCTTCGTCATGGAACAATTATCTGCCCATTTAGGAAATGCAAAATTTGTTTCTATTTTAATAGATGCTCCTAACCATAAAAACAATGATTGTAGCATGCTTAAAAACCTTTGAGAGGAAAACATGACCCGTAACCCCCCTCCTTCTACTCAGAACATCTCCCTCTATATATGGGAGGCCATGGGGCAGGAAGCAGCTCCAGATTCCACCGGCACAGAGCTGGCGGTGACAGCACAGTCAACCTGGGTGAGAAGAGGTCTGAGACAACAGGAAAATAAGACAGGATGAAGCCAGAGGGAGAGAGTGCAGGGAAGGAAAGCAGTGATGCGGGTTTCTGGGAAAGAGAACTGTTTCCCACAAGCCATAAGTAGGTAGAACAGGTAGTGGGGATGGTGGCGGGACCTGTTTTGTCAGAGTCCCTTTCCCTCCCAGCAGCTGAGCAGACAGGCACGTCAGGTGCCTGTGCCCTTCTTATGTCTGCCGTTAAAAAACCCAGCCAGGGAATGTCATTAGAAACAGCCACACCATCTGCCTCTTCCTCCCCTCCCCTTTAAATAAGGAAACACCTTGTCAAACACATCCCACTAAATATCCCTAACACCCTCCCGCGCGCTTCGCGCTCAGCGGTTCTCGGGATCGTGCACCATCTGGACCCTCGCACTACGTCTCAGTGGTGAGGCCCCGGCTCGGACCCACTACACTATGCCAGGGCCACTGGCGGCTCTGCGATGGCTGGCAGTGGGTCTGCACTGCCTGCGTCCCTGTGTGACAGCAGGAGGTCACGCAGCTCAGCGAGATCAATGAGTTCACAGCGGGTGGAAATAAAGCCCAGCAACTCCACTTCATATTGTTAAACCAGGAAAATTAACCAAGGAGGACCTTAAACACAGACATTTATTAACATGTAAATGGACTGAGTCAGCAATTAGTCAACAGTCAGCATAATTGAATAGAATATAGTAATTAAGTTGCCATTTAATTTTTCCCATTTTGTTTAAGGTAAATATTTACTACAATCATGGGTTTTCCATAGTCTTTCGCATGGAAAGCCAGTATCTGTGCAGAGGGTCTGTGTTAAAGTTTCTCAAGAACTTTTAAAAGGCAGGTTGCCTCCTCCTGTCCTCGCAGTGCTGGTCCCGATGCCATGGGTGAGCGTGACTGAGGAGCATCACCACGTCTCCTGGGACTCCTCAGCCCGTGCCTCCAGGCCCTGAGACACACAAGGAGGTAGCTGCATGTGGTTTGGGGCTTGCTCAAGCTGGGCTACCTCCCACCCCCACCCCTGCAAACTCAGGTCAGTGTCTCAGGCACACACTCACACCTCCCTGCTCGCTGACCGTGCAGATGAGTCTTTGTTCTTGGTGATTACTGTGCAGACAACACACTCACCCGGCTGCACCGAGACACTGCGTACAAAGCGAGCGATGTGCTGATAAGTGGAATAGTGTTGAGAAGAGCCTTAGGAGATAGAGGAACATTATTTTAAATTATCTGGAACATAAAAAACAGAGTGAGGACTTGGCAACCTTGCAGCAAAAACCTCAAAACCAGTTATTCCTTTTAAATAAAAACAAAAATGAGAAACAGTAACTATTAGAAATCCCACCTGGTGCTTTCTCTGTGTTAATGATGCTTCTTAAATTGCATGTGGGTAAATGGTAATTTTGTCTCACACCATTAAAAACTAATGGAACCCTTGATGATAAGAAATGCCATAGCTAGCTTGTTGGAAAACGTTTAATTAATAAAGTAATAAAATTATTGTAAACTAGTGCAGTTTCAAGGAGGATTCAATGGGATATAAAACAGATAAAACATCCCTGAGAGTTGGTTCAAGAAATAAATGCTCCTCTATAAAAAAAAAGCAGCACTATAAAGTTAAGCTGGTCTGTGTTACACCAAGTTAAGGCAAGCTATGGCGATGGTAAAGGTATTCAGATAAGCTTTTCAGGAGAAATAGCAGGAAAACCTCATGAAGGCATTTTCATAGGCGCATAAATCCAGCACACCTTCCCCTGCACTGGTGTGGGACCGAAGGTGGCAGTTGAGGGGAGCTGCAGCCCTGTGAGCCCATGGGAATATTGTAGCGGTGCCATTGCTGTTGTCTGCCTGTCCCAGTGTCTCCAGAGTCAGTGAGATGATCTTCACTAGCCTGAGCAAGTTTGGGGTGAAGCACCCTCCAGTTCTGCTGCTGCAGCCACTTTGCTGCTTAATTTTTGTGACACAAGTGGTTGGCAGAGAGAAGAGAGGAGAGGTATGTACGCACGCGTTAACAGCAGCCCATAGGTCTCTGCTACCTGCACATTGGAAGTATTTGCAGGTGTTTAGGTTCAGGATGGGTGTAACATCCCAGGTGCCCAAACTTTCATTTAGTTTGCCTAAAACTCCATCTGCGCATCTCACTGACAAGCCCTGTCAGCTCTTTATTTGGGAGCATACAGCCCACGGTGACAGGAGAATGGAGGAAGCAACAGCTGGGAGAAAGGCATGCACAGGCACATCACACATTTCAGGGTGCCATGAGAACCAGTTGGCTTGATTATAACAAGGGGATGGTCAGACTTTAGGCGTAGAAAGTTCAATCTCCTCACCTGGTCACTGCAGACATTGCTGTGCCCACTGGTGCAACAACAGCTTCTGGTTGATCTCTGCAGCATCTTCTACTTTTGAGTGCCTTTGCAGTCTCCACCTTGATCCTTAGTTAGACGCCATCCTGTTTGATCTCTAGTTTTTTTTAAAATCAAGTGGGATTTGGGGACTTTTTAAAGGACATCAGCATAAATAATGCTACAACAATAAGTCGCTTGGCTCCCCAGGTACAACAGCACTGAGGGGCTCCTTACTTTGGCCTCAGTGCATGGATGGACTGGCAATGTAAGACATTTCCACATGCAAAACACTGGCTGCCTCTGGGAAAAATACTGTGGTTTCCTCTTGTAGGCAGATTTATTTCTGAGGTAGCCTCAAAAATGAGGGCACAGGGAGAATGCTTCCACTCTTTACTGAGGCAGTATGAAAATGTTTATGGGGCTCTATAATTCATCCCCACTGGCAATACCAGCAATGACTTTTTTAACTCCTTGGTGTGTGAGAAACAAAAACATGAGCAGGAGTTCAGTAAAACACTAGCAGGGCCAAAGCTGGGATATTTGTTTCCTGGCAAACTGTGGTTGCTCTTGTTTTAGCCACAGTTTTCCCAGCTGATGCTTTGCAAACTCACCAGAAGGTTCAGCTTTCAAGGCTCTGAAAGTGAACGCAGGGCTGGAAGCTACCGCAGCACTCACCAGCAGAGAGTCAGACCAAGCCTCCTTCTTCCAGAAGATGTTGCTGGTCCCACGACTGCATGGCTGCAGGGGAAGTTTGGGTACAGAGATTTAATCTTGTATTTTTCCCATATGTCATAAGTATGTCATAAGACAATGACAAAATAATAACGAGTTGGTGATGGCTGCTTGAAACTATTTTATTTAACAGCTGTGTTTCTAGCATATTATAATGAACCATCCTTTTGCCTTAATCACTTTAAGATTTCTAAAATAACTAGGAGCTTACTGTACCTTCCCTCAACATGAAGCTTCCACATATGGGGACCATGACTTTATTTTAAGAAGGGGCAAAAGAAGCAGAGCAGAGCTAGAAACACACAGGTTTATCAGTAGAAACCACAGCATAAAGTACTGAAATTACTGTAATAACTTTAACTCACAGCCATTGTACTGCAAGCAGGAAAAGAGGTGATATTGCATTTAGTCTGCACAATGACAGAGTCACTTTGCCCAGGCTCGTTTTGGCAGAAATTTAAATGACGTAAGCGTGGTATTTGTTGGAGAAAATAAAGGGTGAGCTATAAGAAAAAGGAAAAATATTTTCTGGTTTGCCAGGGAGAAGCGTGATTAAAAGCTGACTGATAATAAAGCATGTGGGTGACAGGGCTGTCTCACTAAGCAGTGTCGGCGCCTGGCT